AACTTCAGGGATGAGGTAGTCAGGCAATGGGGCAGGGTTGGCAGGAAATTCACCTTTCCCATCCTGACTCCAGGCTATCAGCTCCTTGCTTCCCTCTCAGTTCTGCTTACAGTACCTGGTATTTTAAAGCACTCTGCCAAGGATGCCAAGAAGGATTGAGCAAGTTACAATATTGGAGGGGATCCAGGGGCTGGGCATGATAGACTTGGCCTTGGATTGAGCTGTACCTGGGGCCACGGTTGGTGGGGCTGAAATGGAAACACAAGAATGACAGCCTTGTCCAGACCCTGAATCTCAGGAAATGCTTCTTCAGTGTCTGCTGCCTCAGGTAATCTTACAATGCAGACAGTTTCTACCCCTCTACTGTGTGGCAGCTGTAGGGACAGGCCCTAGAGTTGGACACCTTGAGGGAGCTCATACAGCTAATGGGGGAAACAATATGACCTGCCACCCATCTTGTGACAGAAGAGGAAGTGACACATGAGGAAGTTGGTAGAGAAGTTCTCTGAGGAGCTGACAGTTGAGGTGGTATTGAAGGATTTCCAGAAATAGAACAGGTGGGACAAAAAAGAAAAGTGATTCTGGAAAAAAGAACATTGATAAGAAATCTCTAGGAACAGAATGGTGCCCTCATGATGGGGCCAGCAAGAAATTTATGGTGAGTGGTTCCAAGGTATGTGCAGTGAGGAAGAGATGTCAGGAGGTGAGCAGGGAAAGGAAGGATGGTAGGACATGCCCATGGCTATTGTTCTCTCAAGAAGAACTCACTGTGTGTGGATCACTTTTTCACACACACACACACACACACACTGAGGTCCATCTCGTTTCCAGGGAACTCACTCTCTGCTCAGTTTCCTGCATCTCCAGCATCCCCTTCCAGGGCACCAGACGTCCTCAAGCCAAACAATACAGTCTGCATTTGGGATCTGTGTGGGGAACCCTGTCACATCTCTGTCATTGTCCAATGTCTCTTTATCAGTCTGCCTCTAGTGTCTGTCTGTTCTCCGAGTCAAAGAGGAAAGATATCTGTCCATTGAAGCCAAAAGCCCAGGATCAGCTGGTGTAGCCACTGGCTTCCCACTGACATATTGTACTGCCCAGCAGGGAGAGAGGGTCAGTGTCCCCATCATGGAACAAAGCTCAGCCATGTGTCTTCACAGGTGCTTTGTCCCCACCTGGTGTCCACTCCGCTGCTGCTCCCCTTTATTTCTTTTCTTGTTGTATCCTCTGTGTCCAGCCTGGCTGCTGGGCCACCTGGATGGGACCAACTTCCAATATTTACATAAACAGCCCCCTAACCTGACAACAACTGTTTTTCTGCCCTGGGCCTTTCAAATTTATTGATGGTTGTGAAAATCTCTGATTTAATGCCAAGCATTAGCTTTTTGAGCTCTTCTACCAGGTCTTTCTGTCTTTCTCTCCCAGGCCCTTGGTCATTCACCTTCATCCCCAGAGGACCAAATAGTTTGACTTTCTCACGACCACAGTGATAAATAAACATGTTTCCATTGACCTGGTCTTGAACCTCACACTATGGTTATCCATTAGGAGTGATAGTGAAGTTATAGCAAAGAGAGGGAGCATTCGTGAAGGAAAAATGCAGAGCAGGGTTGGGGTTGGGAGAAGAGGACCCATAAGCAACTCTCCCTCATCTCTGTGACAGCAAGAGCATCCCCCTGCCCAGCCCCTCCCTTCACCAGTTGAAGGCTAGTACCCTTCCCTTGCTTGATGAGGACAAGGAGGCCACTGCCTGGATATGTCCTTTCTGTCCACTGGCCAATATCCAGCATGAGACAGCCCCTAACCAATGCAGGGATATGCATGGCTGGCTCGAGGAGGAAAAGGACTAGATGCAGAGGATTGTCAGAAACTAGCCCATGCCCTGTGGGGAGAAGGTAGAGTGTGTCAGGGCTGCTCCTGAGGAAACTGGATGGTGGTGTGTTGGGGTGAGGAGAGAATCCACCATTGGAGAAGGGAGAGCTGACGATAATGAGTCCTGGGATTTAGCACAGACCTGGGAGATGGTGCTTATCTGCTACTAGGATGGGTCTTGGGACTTTGGGGAAAAGGTGGCTACACTGCATAGAGCAGATAATCCAGAACTTCTGAGGCAGGTTGCACCTAGTGTGTGACTGACATCATCCCTGAGATTCTGAAGCATCATCATGGCTCCCCCATTATTAAAGTGGTGCCCGGGGTGGGTGAGGAATAGACACTGTCCCAGGTCTTACTCATTAGAGGTGTCACTGGGTCCAAAGACCCAACAGTGCTCATTTCACACTCCCTGGATTTGTACCAAGAATGCGAAATCTTTGCAGTTACTGAATGAGCTATGGGGTGAGGGCGACCAGAGGGAAGTACAAGTACCTCCTTTTCATCCCATCCTCCCTCTTCTCCAAGGAGAATGTTAACACAGTATCACATCCTGGGTGAAATGACAGGGATTAGGAGCAACCTTTAGGATGCAGGCGCAGAACCCCAATCTCACCCCATTTAATAGCAGCCTGGTCTGAAGCCTTTCTGTAAATGAGTGTATATTAAATATTCCAGGCTTTGCAGATCCTAAGTCTGTGGCAGCTACTCAACTCTGCTGAAGCACAAAATCATTCATACACAATACATGAATGAATGAGTGTGCCTGACCTGCCACTGGGCCCCTGCTCCACAAACCTGTGACACTGGACGTATCTGTGGGAGGACAAGGTGCTATGTGGACTTCATGGCATCCTAAGTGGAGAATCACAGCACAGACCCATAGGTCAGGAGCAGGGCCATGCCACTTGCAGTGGGGACATCCACACATTTGAAAGTGGCTCCTGGTTTAGTGCTGGGGCCTGGTAGAGATGAGGCCTCTGGTCATGGGATATCAGAGCTGCCCATCATGAGGTGGTTTCATCAACACACTAATTCCTTGGGTCAGGTAGGACCACAGGTCATAAGATACAAGTGATTTTATTTTTTTTTTATTGTTAGTTTCAGGTGTACAGAACAATGCAATAGTTACCCTTTTCACCCTCACAAAGTAACAACCCCCCTCCCCCATCTATNCAGGCCATAACCAGCACCAGTCAGCCCACAGCCATTGCAGGGACATGCCAGGCTGGATGGAGGAAAAAACGGTGTAGACGGTAGAAGGTGCTACGCAAGGAGGAGGTATAGGGTCAGGGGCTACTCCTGAGGAAGCGGGATGACAGTGAGTGCGGGGTGAGGAGAGGACTTGGGGAAGGCAGAGTTGACATGTGTCACGGTTTTAGCACGGCCCTGGGAGATGGTGCTAACCTGCTGCTAGCATGGGTCTTGGGACTTTGGGAAAGGGATGGCTACACTGTGTGGAATAGAATATCAGGAACTTCCAAGGCACACAGTACAGGGAGGGATTAAAAGGCTCCAAGAAATACATATGTCAGAATGGATAGAGCATGAAAAGCTAGAAGAAAACAGAAAATGTCCACAAACTATGCTCCATGGGAGGGCCTGGAGGACTCTTTGTTTATCAAACTTATTAGAATGCCAAGGGTGATGATGGGTTCAAGTCAGGCAACCCCAAAAGTGCCACTTTGGCATATCAATTATTCCTAATAAAGTTACTTAAGAAACAGCAGTGCAAGAAGTACGCTCTGACCCCCTTTCTCCCTCTGTATCAGGAAATTAATTTCCCATGTGCAAGGTACCTTCCCGGTATCACGAGGTAGACAGACATCCTTAGTCACAGAGATGGGGAATTGAAAGCTGAGAAGCCTGTATAAATAAACCTACTTACTTCTTAACTAATTTATTATACTATTCCAAATCAAAACCCCTATGTCAATTTTTCACAAATTTTTTGTTTCTTTGTCTAAAAGGTGTAAAAGCTGCCTAATTTGCTCAATTCAGAGAGTCTTATATTTCTATAAGTGAAGAAAAAAGTGAGTTTCAGGCATGGAAACCCTCAAGGTCACAGGGAACAAATAAAATACAGAAGCAGGTGGCCCTGGTCCTAGCACCAGACACGTTGCCCCACCACGAGCCTCAGGTCACACCTATGGTCATGCCGGGTCAAAGGTCCCCTTGAGCCAAGGAATCCAGTCTACAGAAAGGAGGGAGCAGTGTCCCATACAGTCCCACATCCTCTCACAGTCACTCCACTCAGAAGCCATGGGCAGGATAGGACACGTTTTTGGCTTTTCAAAAGAGGAGGCTCCCTGAGAGATAATTCCCGAGGGGACTGGGGCAGCCATATCTGAGACACGCTATGTACCCTAAATCTGGGGTCAGCAGTACAGGAAAGTATACATCTTGTTCTCCACTTGTTTGCATGTTGTCTGGCTGTTTCTGCCACAGAAACGTGCAGGTGTGTAGAGCATACAGCGACAGGCACTAAAGTGGCCTGAAAATCAAAGGCCTGCCCTTTGCGACTGTGTAATGACTGACCATTACATGCTGCTGCCTCCTCAGCAGGTGGAAAATACCGGCTTGTGACCAAAGGGGAGATTCTGGGGCAGCATAGTTAGGCGATCAGCTGGCAGAGCCCGCTCAGTCCAAGGGTGGACGGCAGTGGGGGGCAAAGCTGTGTGTGCACAGTAGGGGTATGTGGTTATTCTTGTACGCGACCCTGCGGAAGTGCTCTGTGCTGAATCGGGAGTCCGGTGACTCAGGCCCCTACTCCCACAAGGCAGGCTGGAGGTTCGGTTTTAAGCAGCATTGACTGCTGCGCCCTCTCTCCCTCCCTTCTCCCCGCCCCGCTCCTACCCACCCCCAATTTGCCCAACATCACTTTTTCTCCCAAGCCGCCTCTTTTTGGTCACTTTCTTGCGGGGATGGCGACAATCGGCCCCTTAAGCCGCCAAGGCGATAACGAGCCCGCAGAGAGAACTGAGGAGGGGGGGCGCCACCCGCCGGGAAGGTTCGCGAACTCCCTTGCGCACCGCGCACCCATCCCCGGTCTCAATGCCCCACCTCCTCCTGCCTCCCTCCTACCCCGTCACCCCAACGACCCCCTGCATGTCCCCACCCCAACTCACCGCCGCGAGCCCAGACGCAGCGCGCAGCCCAGGTACAAACGAGCAGCAGAAGCCAGGTCAGGAGCACAGGACGGTACTGAGAGCCGACGGTTCGCACCATCGCGGAGAAAGCGTCAGGGAGCGTTTCCTCCCACTCGGTTTTCTCGGAGCCGGCTGTAGCTCTGCAGGCGTGGAGGTCCGCAGGAGACGAAAAAGTACTGCTGGGCGAACAGGCGACGGAGATCGGTGGCGCCCTCAATTTTTGAGGAAACTTTGGTCACGGCCCGGCCCGCCCCATCTCTCTCCGCTGTCACTTCACGTCGCGCCCGAGTGGCCCTCCTTGCACAGGCAGCTTTAAATATCCAACTTTCCGCCGCCAGCCGCGTTCCGACGCAGGCCGGCCGGCTGGGAGAGTTTTATCCGGTCGTCGCGCCTCTTCCCAGCGCCCCGCCCTCTAGCGCCGGGCCTCTCGCCCCTCCTTCTTCCCAGCTCTGCGCTTCGCGCTTCACTGTGACACAGCCCCGCTACCACCAGCTTCCCTCCTTCCTGCCAGCACCCCACTTCAGGAGATATGGGAGCACAAACCACTGGCAACAGAGGAGTCAGAACAGGTGTTACCCACAGCGTCTCAATCCACAGTCACCCACAAACCCCTTTGCCTACTCTGCTCAAAAGACTCTCATACAAACCCTCCAGCATCCCCACTGCCCCCCACCCTTGAACTTCCCCGCAGCTCTGCCAGCTCATCTAACCTGCAGCCCCAGGGGTTCACTTCACAGGCACATCTCAGCCACTTCCCTCACCCCTCACTGCTCCCCAACCATGTTTTATTACCCAGTTCTTTAGTGTTCAAATACGCCAGTGATCCAACACCTTCCCATCTGTGTGAGCGAAATCACTTCCTCCGCCTAGTGGCACCTTATCCCCTTGCCTGAGGACTCACCCCACCAAAGGCTGTGCTCCTGGCCCAGGAAAGAGTAAAAGCGACAGGAAGCAGTATCACAAAGTATGACCCTGGGAATAATGGTAAGGAAGGGCACTCTCACTCTACCCTTGGGCCCAAAACCACCTTTTCTACCTACTGAGGAGGCAGCAGCATATAAAGGTCATAGATTTAGGCAGGAGGCTGAAACCTTTTCTACAAAGGGCCGAGAGTGAATGTTGTGATATTTGCAGTCCACTCAGCATCTGCTGTCAAGTCATGACCTAACCCAGGGTTCCCCAAACCTTTGATAAAAAACAAACAAAAAAATCTTGTTTCTGAAAATAGCATAATTTAATGCAGCAACTTTCCCACGTCATAACAGCTATTCCAATACCTGCGGTTTCTTCTCTGGACGGTGACAAGTTAACAACATCAACCAACCCTTGATGGCAAAATCTGACCCTTGATGACAGTTGGCTGTCAACCTAATATATTATTATCTTCGAATCAGACATGGGCTCACCAAAATGCAAATGAAACTTACCCATAGAACCCCTCACCTGCACAGGCTCCCTACCCGGCCCTTGAAGAGGCCTTTGTGTTGACTTGGTCGCTCTGAGATCTTTGCAGACGTAAGATGTTTGCTCACAATCAGGACTGTTAGCTTTACCCTGACTCTCTTTCCATCAGACTTCCTTATGTCAGGTGGAATTGGAGGGGAAGCTGGCATTGTCTATTCAATTAAGAGGAAGAATAGCTAGGAAGACATTTTTTGTTGTTGTTTAATGAGATATATCTATGTGTTCGCACTGTCGTGTAGAAAATGATTCCACCCTTTCAGTTGCCAAAAAAAATACTGAGGTTCAGCCTGTCTCATGTTGTGTGTGTGTGTGTGGGGGGGTGGCAGCAGGGAGACAGGGAATGTGACACCTAGCCCAGGTGTCTGGTGGGTGTGATCTGTCCCAGGGAAAGGGACAGATCCGCAGAGCTGTGGGCACAGGCCTCTGGCTTTAGCCCCTGCTGGAAGGAGACTTTGAAGGGCTTCACTGGCCCAACCAAGCAGGCGGAGGTTAGGCTGCATTCCCAGTAGGAGCAGGAGGAAGGCCGGACACCAGTTTTAGACACTAGGTGTCCATGGTGAGGGTTCAAGGCGGCTGGGCCTCCATGGCCCCCGGGGCGTGGCGCCCTCAGCCTGCTTCTTGCTGGCTCCCTGAGCCTGCTGCTGAAGGGCTACAGACCTTTAACAATGTGCAACATCACAGTGTTCAAGCATCCAGTCAACAGATTTCGGGACATATGAAAAGGCAAGGAAAGGAGATTCATAATGAGGAGAAAAATGAATCCATAGAAACGGACTCAGATCGGGAGCACATGCTTAGGTAGTCCCATGCAAGCAAAGACGCTCCAACTGTCCTTAACCTATAAGGGAGGAAACGTGGTTTTCTCTCCACCCTTTTCACCCATGTGACAAAAGACAGATTAACAAGAGAAACACAAACAGAACTTTGTTAATGTGTATACCTCTTATATAGATAAGACATATTCCCAAATTAGCTTAGAATTCAGGATTAAATATCTTAATAGGGAAAGGTGTGGGAGGTAGGAAGGGGGGTTGTAGGCCTGTAGAGGAAAGTAAATGATTTTCAAGAGACATAAATGGGCCCTTACAACATGGATGAGAAAAATGAGAATGGGACAGCATCTGGCTGGTGTCGTGTCCACTTCTTGTCTCCTGTCCTGTGATGAGTCATCCTCCTTGGTTGATGAAGCTCCCAGGCAGGGGATTCATGAAAACTGCTTTTTTTTGAGGGTCTGTCTTCAGGCAAATATAGAGAGTTCACAGTAAGCATCTCCAGCTTTGGGTGTTTTTCACATGCCTACAGCTCAAAAAAAAAAAAGCAGAATATTTGGGGTGGCAAAATCTGCAACCCTTCATACCATACACAAAAATTAACTCAAAATGGATTATGCATATACATACATATTTATGAAATAAAACTATGAAAGAATTAAGAGAAAACATAGGAGTAAATCTTTGTGAACTTCTTTGACAAAATCTTCTTAAATACAGCAATAGCACAAATGACAAAGGGAAAGGTAGATAAAGCGACTTCTCCAAAACTTAAAAAATTCTGCCTCAAAGAACACCATAAAGAATGTGAAAATATAACCTAAGAGAAAGGGAGAGAAAATATTTTGCAATCATATCTCTGGTAAAGGACTGGTTTCCAGAATATATAAAGGAGACTTTTACACTCAATAATATAATGATAAGTAATTCAATTTAAAAATAGACATTACTCTAAAGAAGAACACAAATGGCCAATAAACACATGAAAAGATGCTCATATCATCAACCATCAGGGAATTGCAGATCAAAACCACAGAGATGAACCTTCACAACCACTAGAGATGGCGATCATCAAAAAGACAGAAAGTAACTAGTGTTAGGGAGCCTGTGGAGAAGCTGGAACCTCCTGGGTGGCTGGGGCAGAGTGTATGGAGAGGGCCAGTCAGTGTGGGGGACAGAGTGAAGTGAGGGCTACATGTGTGCTGGGGGGAGACCTGTGTGTCCGTGACTGTGCAGGATCCATATGAAAAGGGAGAACATAATGGGGGAGCCTCAGGTAGGGAATGTTGCTGGAGGGGTGTGGGTGGAGGCCGGCTCCCTCTCCCTTGTCCAAGCCTTGATCACAGAGCTCTGGCAGCTGCCAGGTAGGTGTTGCAACTGGGCACACACATGCCCCTCGGGGCTAGGCAGGGTTTTGTTCCTCAGACACGTGGCCAGAGACTCTGAGTAATTATATTCCCCTCAACCCCAAGGCCAGGCTTGAAAAGGCAGAGTGTAGCCCCCACTTCACCTCCTCACCTCCCCACACGGGCCTTGGCACTGTGACTGGGGGAGGGGAAGGGCTGTTTCTACAAGCATTTCCTCCAGCGCCCCCAGGAGCCTCTCCTCAGGGATCAGTTCTGAGTCCAGCTCCAAACCTACTGCAGAGATTCTGGGGGTGAAAAAAATCGACCTTTGACATCCTCATGGGAGATTGCGATGCAGGAAGTCTATGGAGCACATGCTGAGAAGTACTGGGGTGTTTCAGGAGACAGGTGACCTGGTGGGAGGCTGCCTCTAGGGCTTTGGAACAACATACTTATTGGCCTGTATTCAAATGGCAGTGAATGAGCATAGTGATCTAAAGACCTTAAAACATGAGGGCTGCTTTTAAGCCCTTCAGGATACATAGGGTCTCTAAGTAATTGGAGACCCCACACGTACATCATGTCACGTTTTTTAAAATTTTATTCTATTAGGGAACAGTGTGTTTTTCCAGGACCCATCAGCTACAAATAGAGTAGTTGTTTCAATCTAGTTGTGGAGGGCACAATTCAGTGGCCCATGTGGGGCTCGAACCAGCAATCTTGGTGTTATGAGCACTGTGCTCTAACCAACTGAGCTAACTGGCCACCCCCATGTCACATTTTTAAAAGCAGATGCTATATTCAATTTTTTGCTGTAAAATTTGCAAAATATTTAAAGTTTGATTTTGAAATTATTTGGCTAAAACATGAGGAAAAAATCATTAAGCTGGAGAATTAAGATTATTGTTGGTTACACTCTTTTCTTATGTATATTTTGCCTCAATAAAAAATAAAACAGAAGCAAAAATTATTTAGTAGCATGTAAATAATATATTTATTATAAACTGTAATTTCATGATAATCATTCTGTAAATTTGGGGTTATTGCAAAGTAAGAATATCTAACCTACACGGTACTATCAAATGGAATGAACTTTTATGGATACTAAATCCAGCAATTAAAGAATTGCATGAATTACATTTTGTAGGTAATTAATTAAACTTTTGTTCATTTCTGTTTGGAAATTGCTCTTTAGAACTTTGTATCCAAATATGCATAGTGATCTAAGGTTCTCCTTGAACAATTCTACTTCCCTCATCCTTTATATCTCACAGGTTTAGACACAACAAACCACTTGCATCTTAACTATTTTTATTCCCTTGTTTCTTTTTCTGTATTCTTTTGAATCTTTTTCTTAACTGGTTGCCCTGGGCATGGAAATTAGCATCTTAACCTAAAACAATCTAGTTTAGATTCATACCAGTTTTCTTCCAATACAACTGTATTATCTCCCCCTCTTTGAGCTGTTATTATCATACAAA